ACCTGATCTCAGGGTGGCACATGGCATGGTGGTTAAAGGAGCTGGACTCTCACATGGTTGACCTCATTTCAAGTCCCAGACTTGGCGGCTTGCTTTCTCACTTCCCTGACTCCCTCTCTCTCATACTCTGTCATTTGCTGGTCAAATTAAAAGAAAGAAAGAGAAAGAGAAAAAGAAAGTTAAATAAAATAACTCTTAAAAAAGAAAACTCTGATCTCACATGGCCTACTACAGTTCAAGTCCCAGCTAAGAAGTTTGAAAAACATGGCGGGTACAAACACCTGTACACCTCAAAACCTGATGGGATGGAGAAATGGAAGGGATTGTAGTGTGACCACACTCCTTTGCAGGGGTGGGGTGCCTTCTCTTTCTGGTAATGCAATATGACCAAACAAAAAACACCCTTTGTAGCATATTCTCCCCAATCTGTGATGTAATTCAGAATTTCATATTGTATTTGATTTTCAAATCCCTTTAATTTTATTTTATCTGAAACAATTCCTCAGTCTTTGTGTTTCATGATATTGGCCTTTTTTTCTTTTTTTTAGAGCTTTTCGCTATAGGGCGCATGCGCTCACCAGACACAAAAAGAGAGACAGAGAGATAGAAAGTGAGAAATCACCCCCCAGGGGGGATGGCCATGCCACAATCCTTTCTCCTCCATTCTTCTCTTGGGATCTTGGGCACACACACACATGCACCTGGCATGAGTTTTAAGCCACTGAGTCAGAGACTTGAACCGTGGTCGACTACATGGGAGTCCAGCGACATAACCATTACGCTAACTGCTGGTCCCGATATTGGCCTTTTTAAGAGGAAAATAATTGTGGAATAATTTGTAGTGTTCCTCAATTTGGGTTTTATTCTTTTCATGTGATCAGATTCAGGATATGCATGTCTGGCAGGAATGTTATGTAGGTGGGGTTGTATCATGTATTAGTACACCACAGTAGGAGACACGTGTGTCACTTTGTTCCATTATTAGTGAAGTTAACTCTGGCCTACTGTAAAGGTATATTTTTTCTTTGTAATTAATGATCTGTGGAGAGAAAGTTGAGATCATACAAATATCTTGTTTACCAATAAAGATTTAGTCAGTGGTTTTAGCGTCATTATTAATATTTGCTCAAGTCATATATTGCTAAGGTGATTGCAAAGTGGTGATGTTTTTTAATCAGTAATGAAGTGCAGTGTCCAGGTGCTCTCCTGTGTGTCAGGTGTGCTGCTATCGGGTTGTCAGAAAAGTCATGATGATGTATTTTTCTATATTTCTCTAGGCAAAAATGCTTCATGACTTTTCTGATGGCCCAGTATTTAACTATTATGTGTAGCACTGTGAAGTTAGACTTTATGACTTCCAAGATCCCCAATAACCCTGAATTTTGATGAGGGGGAAAAAAAAAAGACTTAGAGTAATATCAAATTTAAATTTTATGGGACAAATGATTTTTTTGGATTTAGAATATACAGTTTAAAATTTTTGAGATATAAAATACATGTAGAAAAACTTACATCATTAATGTACAGCTCACTGTTTTCACATCTGCATAAATAGCACCTACACTGAAAAACAGAACATGACCAGCAGTCTGGAAATACCATTGCCCCAAACCAAGTTTTTTTTTTTTTTTTGGAGAGGTTTTTGCTATAGGGCATGTGCACCCACCAGACAGACAGAGAGAGACAGAGAGACAGAAAGCGAAAAATCACCCCCCAGGGGTGATGGTCACGCCACAATCGCTTCTCCTCCATTCTCCTTTTCGGGATCTTGGGCATACACGCACATGCGCCTGGCGTGAGTTTTAAGCCACCGGGTCCGGGATGCGAACCGTGGTCGACTACATGGGAGTCCAGCGACATAGCCATTACACTAACTGCTGGTTCCCTGCTTCTCTCTTTTTTTAAAAAATAATCATTTTATTTAACTTTATTTATTTATATTTGCATTTTTGGCCAGAGAGGGACAGAGTGAGGGTGAGAGCGAGAGCAAGAGAGCAAGTGAGCGAGAAAGAGAGAGAGAGATAGAGAGTGAGAAAGCAAGCTACCAGGTCCGGGACTCGAACTGTGGTCGGCTATGAGGGAGTCCAGCACCCTTAACCACCATGCTACCTGCTGACCCTGAGTATTTGCTTTCCATTTGCTGGATCAGCAGTCTTCATTCAGTGTCCTGAATGAACACAGTGATAGTATGTTCAGGAACATATATATGGTTTGAATTCAAAATCCCTGTCTGCTTTCCTTCAATTCTCCTTTTTGAATTCAAAATCCCTGTCTTATTTCCTTCTGATTTACATCCTAACCCTCTACCCTACTCCCACTGGAAACATAATGGATAAGGGGCCTGGACAACCTAGAAATGTCAGTGTGTCATTTATTTCCTTTCCCTAAAGTCTAGAACAAACATTATTAAGCATAATTTTTAAGAGATTTTTGTTATAGGGTATGTGCACTCTCTGGAGAGACAGAGAGAGAAAGAGAGAAAGCAAATGAGAAATCACCCCCTAGAGGGGATGGCCATGCTGTAGTCCCTTCTCCTCCAATCTCTTCTTGGCATTCTGGGCATGCACACACACACATCCGGTGTGAATTTCAAACCTCCAGATCCAAGACTCAAACCATGGCCAGCCACGTGGGAGTCTAGCACCTTAACCACTACATCACCTTCTGGCCCTTAATAAGCATTATTTGATTGTCAATATATATTTATTGACCAAGCATGCATTGTGTGGCACAGTGTCATAAATGTGACTTTGTGTTAGCCAGGAAGACCCAAAAAATCCTTTCTAGCTCCTCCCTTGTAGCCTTTACATAGGACATTGTACACATATGTTAAGTGGGATTTATTCAGTCTTTCTGTGAAGTTGATGCTTTCATATAAACCAGAATTCAAATCTAGCAAATATAAGACTTTATTTACATTTTCCAATTTCTTTTTTTTAAAGAACTATTTATTTAATTTTATTATTACTTTTTAATTTGCTATAGGGCATGTATGCTCACCAGAGAGGGAGGGAGAGAGAGAGAGAGAGACAGAAAAAGGGAAAGTGAGAAAATAAGCCATCAGGTCCAAGACTTAAACTATGGTCAGTCATGTGGGAATCTAGCACCTCAACCACCATGCCATCTGCCAGCCCCCATTTTCCAATTTCTTACACAAATCAGATCATTAGTTGCTTTTTTGCTGCAAGGATGATTTGAGAAGAGGCGTAGTGTTAAGAGCAGGGAGTCTGGAACTACCCTCCCTGAGTCAAATCCTAGCTCTTCCCCTTCTTGCCTACGTGACCCTGGTTAAGTTCCTTTCTTCTTGGAGCTTCAGTTTATTTGTAAAATTAGAATAATATTAATACAGATGTCAGAGTAGTTATGAAGATTTAACTTTTTTTTTTTTTTTTTGCTATAGGATGTCTGCGCTTATAGGAGAGAGGCAGAGGGAGAAAGAGAGAGAGAGAGAAAGTGAGAAATCACCCCTTAGAGTGGGATGGCTACACCACAGTCCCTTCCCTTCTATTCTCCTCTTGAGATTTTGGGAATGCATACGCATGTGCCCAGCATGATTTTAAAGCTACTGGGTCCAGGACTCAGACCACACAATCAGCAACGTGGGATCCAGTGGTCTTAACCTCCCAGTCACCTGCTAGGTTCATGAATTAATATTTTTAAAGTGCTTTAAATAAAATTTAACACACAGTGCTTTGGACTATTAAATAAAAATAAATGTTATGTGGAAATATATAAGTAGATTGATATAAATTTGTATATATTGGGTCATTGGAAAAGTCATTATGTATTTTTTTTCTATGCAAAAATGCATCATGACTTTTCCTACGACCCAATATTTGTATGATTTGTACATCTTCTTACCAATGCTATTTCTTTTTAAAAAAATTTTTAGAGGGACCAGCAGTTAGCGTAATGGCTATGTCGCTGGACTCCCATGTAGTCGACCACGGTTTGCGTCCCAGACCTGATGGCCGAGCATGTGTGCGTGCGTGCCCAAGATCCCAAGAGGAGAACAGAGGAGAAGGGATTGCGGTGTGGCCATCCCCCCGGGGGGTGATTTCTTGCTTTCTGTCTCTCTGTCTCTCTCTGTCTGGCGAGTGCATGCGCCCTATAGCAAAAACCTCTCTAAAAATTTTTTTTGGAGAGGTTTTTGCTATAGGGCGTGTACGCTCACTAGAAAGACAGAGACAGACAAAAAGCAAGAAATCACCCCCCAAGGGTTTTGTCCACACACCACAATCCCTTCTCCTACATTCTCCTCTCGGGATCTTGGACACGCACATACATGCCCTCAGCATGAGTTTAAGTCTCTGGGTTGGGGACTTGGACTGCGATCAACGACGTGGAAGTCCAGTGATGTAACCATTACACCATCTACTGGTCCCCCAATGCTATTTCTTTTGGTTAGTTTTCTCTTCACATTCTAAGGTTCTGAAAGATCTGAACCCCTTTTATCTGCCCTTCAAGATCAGATACTTATTAGTATTTCAGTATGCAAGAGTATTTGATAATTGTTATGAGTGTCATAGTGAGTAAAACACTTAAAGACCTCTGAGTTGAAAGTATAAATTCCTCCAAACCTGAAAGAAATTGAACTGTGTAACATTAAAGGTAAGCCAGTGAGCCTAACAATAAAGTTTAACCACTGTTGAATTGCAATTTCAGAATGCTTTGATATTTTTCACCCAGTCCCTTTATTCTTTTATTTTTTTAAGAGAGATTTTTACTGTAGGGTGTGTGTGTGCTTACCTTAGAGCCAGAGAGATAGAAAGCAAGATTACTCCCAGGGGGGTTGACCACTCCACAATCTCTTCTCCATTCTCTTCTTGGGATTTTGGGCAAGCCTCTTGGTCTGGGACTTGAACTGCAGTTGGCCATATGGGAGTCCAATGACATAACCGTTATACCATCTACTGTTCTCCCATTTTCTTTATACATCTTTGTGATGAACGTGCTAGATCCTGACTAGCAGTGGTATAATGTGTACTTTCCTTTTGCAGCTGTAGAGAGGACGCAACAAAGAAAGCTTGAAGAGTTACTTTTAGCAGCAGCACGAGAAGGAAGAACAGCAGAACTCACAGCTCTGGTAAAATAAAAACACAGCATTATCTTTACACAAGGGAAGGAAAGCTTTTACTTAATGCTAAATCCGTAATTTCATCACACTGTGGGACCAAAAATCTCTGGGTACCATAATAATGGAACAAAAGTCCTTAAAGATCTACAAACACTTAACATGGTAATAGTTTAAGTAGGACACATTTTAAATAGTAACTCCTCCCCCCATTCCTTAACCCTCCCACCCACCCCCACTGCAAGCCTGAAGGATAAAAATCTAAATTTTCTTTGACAAATAGTTAATATAAGGATAGTTTTAAAAAATGTTCAGGTTAAGCTAGGACACTATAAGGGAATAAGCTTTTCTGTATTTTCTTTTTCAAAAGACATAGTCTTGCTGTATCATGATCCTCCTGCCTCAGCCTCCCTGCTGGGGTGTTGGTCTGTGCCACCATGCCTGCCCTTTCACAGAATCTCATGTTGCCCAGGCCAGTGTCTAGCTCACAATTGTCCTATCCCAGCCTCCCTGAGCTGCCAGGGTTACAGGTGCACACCACTGTGCCTGGCTTTTACGTTGCGCTGAAAATTGAACCTAGACTTCTCATGTGAGCCCAACCAGAGTACAGTGTTGTAGCAGTGCACACCACTGTGGTTAGGCCAGTTTCTCTCATTTTAATGAACAATAAATTCTGAGGGGAATGCTATACTTCACGAAAGTAACATATGAAGAAGGGACAGTATTTTGGAATATTTATGTCATGTTAGAGCAGGCTGAAAGCTTTGCCCACTCTTTTTTTCCTTCTTAGGAGACCTACTTTCCAGTTTCCAATTTCTACATGGTCTTATTAAACATGAAACTCTAAATTTGTTCTGAATTCAAGACTGAAGCATTGCCATTTGCTTCAAGTTATTCCAGTTCATTTGAAAAGGCCTTTTTGGTTTCTAAGTACATTGCCTAAAACATTTTTCTTTAAATTTTGTGAAATGGAGACTATATAAAGAAGTTTCTAAAGCAGTAAGTTGGGAGCAACAAATTCAGTAGAATTTGACATTTACGTATTTCACATTTATGGTTTTAACTCTCCTGAAGGGCTGTCTATGGTAGACTGATGGGAGTCTTGCTGTGAAGCACAAGCCAAGCAAATCTTAGTGAAATCTCAATGTCCGGAGGTGAATGGAGTGGTACTTGGTGGAGTATGTGGTGGCTATTGTCAGGGGAGTATGGAACTCAGATGCAAACCTGAGACTGTAGTACTTTGAAGATGAACCTGGCGGTAGCGGAGTTGTCTGGCTGGTGAGCAAGAAGCCGCTGGCAGTCTGGATGCCAGGAGCTGGCTGTTCTTTAGGCTCCTCTGGTACACTTCCTGTGTGTTGGGGAAGAAAGTACATTTTTTTGATAAATAATTCTTCCTTGCTTTTCTTTCATTGGTAGCTTAACAGACCCAATCCTCCGGATGTTAACTGTTCGGATCAGTTAGGAAATACACCCTTGCATTGTGCAGCTTACCGGGCCCATAAGCAGTGTGCCTTAAAGCTTTTAAAAAGTGGAGCAGACTCTAACCTGAAGAACAAAAATGGTAAGCAAATTGGTAAAAGCCATTGTTAGTCATTTTGAAGCAGTATTGAAGTCATTGCTATAAAATTGGTCTTGTTTTAGTATCTAGCCCTTGTTAAGCTTCATGGTACTATTTTAATTTTAAAGCCAAAGTATTCATACAAAAGAAAAAATAACTGAATTATTTACTTCTCAATTAAGACTTCAGTATTTAATAATGCCTACCTACTCCATAGGAGGCAGTAGTGATGATTAAGATAGATTCTACCCTTGAGGGAAAAGTAAGTGCAGTTAATGTTCATTATATGCAGTAGGTATGTTTTATGAAGTTGTCAAAATTGTCACTGACACTAAATTAGCAAATACTGAGTCATTGCATTGGGGGATATACAGGGTTATGTTCTTGCCAACCTCTAGTCACAGAATTTTCAGCTGATAAATACATAACTGTTTTACATGTGTTTCTGTTTTAAAACACCTTGGGACTGGCAGGTGGCATGGTGGTTAAGGTGCTGGACTTCCATGTGGCCAACCACAGTCCAGTCCCAGACCTGGTAGCATGCTTTCTCACCTTCCCTTCCCTTCCCTTCCCTTCCCTTCCCTCCCCTCCCTCCCCTCCCTCCCTCCCTCCTTCCTCTCTCTCTCTCTCTCTCTCTCTCTCTCTGCCTCTCTCTGGTCAAAATAAAAAATAATTATAACAAATAACATAAATAAGTAATTCTTAAAAACAAAGGAACAGAAACACCTTTTTTTAATGTATACCATTGGTTGATTAACAAGAACTCCAGGCCAGCAGTTTCATACCCATGCCTGAGAGAAGCTTCTCTAACACTATTTTCCCTGTAAGGGATACTAGTCTCCTTGCTCTTACACACATTAAACAGCACTTCAGCACTTTGTTGGAGGCCACTTTAAACAGTGAAATCACTAACAAAAAGCACAAAAATGTGAACAGTGTGACATTGTCTATATTGCAACGAGGACATTTGTTTATAGTACGAGAGCTGAAATAAGAAGGCCAAGTGTCTCCTTGTTCTGCGTCAGCTGGGAAAGCAAACATCAGGCAACTCAATTTTTTCACTGCTCTGGGCATATTTGTGAATGAGAAATTTTTATGAGTATTTACTTAGGGGTTACAAATAGATTTTATTAGTAGGTAAATTTGCAGTTATGGGATCTGCTTATAAAATGAGAACTGACCGTGCATGCATTATATGATACTGATCTGATACTAACACTATTGGAAACAGAACTGGATAACCAGAAGAGACGTGTAAAAGGTGTTTTGGGTAGTCAAAGGAGGAACATACCATTAGGACCTTTCTACATTACATTTTAGGATGCTTCCTGCTGCCTTCCAGCAGCCTGGATTAGGACTTCTCAAGGGTCCTGCAGAACACCCTGCTCACCTCCAATGGAGCCAAAATCATATTCCATGGTAATTGTTTATGTAGCTACCTCGCATGAGAGTGAACTCCTAAAGGCAGGGCTGACATTTTGCTGTCCAGTTTACCAGCATCTAGAGTATTGCGTGCACATAACACCTTTTGTGAGGGTTGCATGTTTGTTGAGGGCTCGAAGTGATTAGAAATAGTTTCCTGAAAGACTATTTGTTTGCTAAAGACCCGGAAGTCCTTGTAAGATTAAAAAGCAATAATTCATCTCAAAAGTGTTTTGGTTTGGCAGTCTCTGCCCCCGCCTAACCCCCCACCCCTCAAGGAGTGGGAGAGCCTCTGTATTGAGCCTTAAAGCCTAGGGCGCTGGTGGGTGGAGCCACAGCAGGTACAGATCTTGGTAATAGTAGCAAATATTCAAAGGAGAAATTTGAAGGCTGAAATACCGAATATTTGCACTCTATGGCTGACACCGAATGACTAAAGGTTATAGAAACTTAGAAAAAGATAGTAAATACCAGATATAGTGTGGAAAGAGGGAGTGTGAAGGAGTAGAGTCTGAGGAAGGACATTAAGGAGAAAAATAGAGAGGCAAGGCATTTATGGCATAAAGAAATGGATTATTACCTATTGAAGATAACTTTATAGTACTGTCAATTGGACTGGTGAGAAATGCACACATGTTGGAATATTCACTTTGTAAGCTAAATAATGTGATTGAATGCATAAAAGAAAATGAAATAAAAAGAAATAAAAGAAGTACAGCTAGGAGCAGCTGCTACATGAGATGAAGCTGAATTATGTATTAATTAATTCTTTTGGTAAATGATGGGAATTTTGTCTTGCTCCATGTAAAATTTCTTTCAGAATTGTTAGGAGGATAATATATGTATTTATTTTGATTGACAAATGAAGAGAAATTATTAAAACTTGGGACCCACAGGAAGAAAAAAATGTGTTTCAGTTTGTATTTTGAACAAAAGGCCCCCTCTGTATGCTTTTTCTCTTTTAATATAAACACAGTGCCTCTCTCTAGTAAGATTTTTATTTTAGAGAGATTTTTGTTATAGAGTGTGTGCGCTTGCTAGAGAGACAGAGAGACAAAAAGCAGGAAATCCCCTCTCAGAGGGGATGGCCATGCCACAACCCCTTCTCCTCCATTCTCCTCTTGGGATCTTGGGCATGTACTCATATGTACATAGCATGAGTTCTAAGCTGCCAGAGCCGGGACTCCAACCACACTGACCACGTGGGAGTCCACTAACGTAATATTACGCCATCTGCTGGTCCCTCCAGTAAGATTTCGATAAGTAGGAATTTGCTCCTATTCCAAAGAGAGAGAAGGTTAAGAGAAAAGGCATATGAAAAATGTAAGTGAAGTTCAGGTGACATTTCCAGTTTGGCATGCCCAAGGGCACAGAAAGGAGAGCAGAGTTAGGTAATCCTATAGATGCAGCTAGACTTAGTGAAAGCCATGACCTGCCAGGCTACTTTACCCCCAGTAGTGACCAGTAGAACCAATGAGGCGGTCTTAGGTGAGAAGTAATTGGGACCTGTACTTTCTTGACATCAATAGGAGTAGCAAGGAAAAAGAATGTATTAGAGCATCTCCTGCTTTTCCTCTCTGACTGGCCCTGATGTGCTAGACTGTCACTGTCTAGTAAAAGTTGAATGGGAGTCACATGTGTAATTTTAGATTTCCTAGTAGCTGTGTTAATAAAGTAAAAAGAAACAGGTGAAATTTATTTAATAATGTTTTATTTAAAACAATATATCCAAAATACCAATTCAACATGTAATCAGTGGAAAAAACTAATTTAGATTTTACATTTCTTTTTTCAAATTAAGTCTTTGAAATCTGTTGCCTAGTTTACACTTAATAGCACATCTCAGTTTGAACTAGCTACATTTCAAGCATTGAATCGCCACGTATGAACAGCCTCTTGTAATCAGCATCTACCATATCAGTCAGTGCTATCTGGACACACCCAACTATTTGAGGCTCTTGGAGAACCAAGCTGTCCTTCCCTTGTACGTGTTTTTCTCTTGGCCAGAAATGCCCTTTTCCTGCTTGTCCATGTTGGAAATCTTAGTTTCACTTTAAGAACTAACTCATATGCCGCTTCTCCAGAGGCGTTTTCTCTGTTTCTCTGAGACATGTATAGATTCTTCTTGGAATAAAAATTATAAGGGAAAGTGGGGCATGGAGAAGGGGAGCACTCTGGAGAGATGAGAGAAATGCATTTTCTATGGAAGCCAAAAGAGAGGAAACGTACAGTAAAGGGGTAGGATGTTGTTGGTGTCCCGTGCAGCTTGAACTGAAGAAGATAAATACTGAAAAAAAGCTGAAGAACTCAGTGACTTAATACCCAGTGGTCATTTCTGAAGGAGCAGTTTCTGGTGAGTGGTTGGGCAAAAGCTAGATGAAGGATTAAGGACTGAGTGGGAAATAAAGAAGCTGAGGCAGCACTATTTTGTTTTTTTGGTGGTGGGTGGTGGTGGGGGTTTGCTGTAGGGCATGTGTGCTCGCCAGAAAGACAGAGAGAGACAGAAAGTGAGAAATCACCCCTCGGGGGAACTGGCCACACTGCAATCCCTTCTCCTCCATTCTCCTCTCAGGATCTTGGGCACGTGCACACACCGCCCAGCGTGAGTTTAAGCCACCAGGTCCGGAACTTGAACTATGGTCAACTACATGGGAATCCAGCAACATAGCCATTATGCCAACTGCTGGTCCCGAGGCAGCACTATTCAATTACCTCTAGTTAAGAACAGACAGGTGGCTCTATGATCAGTTGGAGTAGTTTTAGGTAAAGGGAATTTAAGCATGTTTAAAATTAGCAAGGAACAAGGCAATAGAAAGAGCATAATGATTTTATTATGACATAAAATGCAATTTTTTTTTTGTAGAGGTTTTTGCTATAGGGCCCGTGCACTCGCCAGACAGAGAGAGACAGAGAGACAGAAAGCGAGAAATCACCCCCCAGGGGGGATGGCCACGCTGCAATCACTTCTCCTCCGTTCTCCTCTCGGGATCCTGGGCACGCACGCACACACGCCTGGCATGAATATTAAGCCACCGGGTCCAGGACGCGAACTGCGGTCGACTACATGGGAGTCCAGCAACATAGCCATTACACTAACTGCTGGTCCCATAAAATGCAATTTTTAAAAAGTCAATGTTTAACATAATACCAAAAACAATAAATATGAACATATTTCAATATTTCATAAAAGATGCTTTATTTTTAAATAAAGGAAATTATAAACGCAACTGAAGGATGTAAGGAAGACCTGAAAAAAAAAATGAAGAAGAGATTTACCATTTTTCGATGGGGAAAAGCTCGACATAAAAAAAGCTAACAGTGCTCCCCAAGTTAATTTATTTCAAAGCAATTATAGGCAGAATCCTCAGGATTTCCACAATTTTGACTAATTGATTCTACATTTATTATAGAAGGATCGAAGGCCAAAAATTTTTAAAGGAGAAGAGAAGTTGGGGTGCTGTCCTGCTGAGTGAAAAGGTCAATTTTGAACCTATGATAATTAAAACATTCATTCACCTGAAAAATACTTATTGAGTGTGATGTGCTAGGCCCTATCTCAGGGACCAGGCTTCTAGAGCCAG